GAATTTCCTGTACCAAAAATTAATATTTTAAAAAAAAATTAATTTTCTTTTAGAACTCTTAAAAAATAAATTTTTGTGATTTTTAAATTTTTTTAGAAAAATTTAATTAATGTGTGTATGTGTGTTTATGTTTTTTGTATGTCCGCGTTTTTCGTCCACGTTTTCGGGCGCACGGATCAACCGATTTGAATGGTTTAAAAAACATTCGATTCCTATTGATAGGGAGATGTGATGATTAGTTTTTAGCAAAGACAGGTCCAGCCGTTACGGAGATATGGAGCAAAGAGTGCAGAAAATACAAATCGAGTTTTTGAGAGAACGGATCATCCGATTTTGTTTCTATTTTTTTTTTAAATATTTTTGTAATTTTGGATTAAAAATTCAAAAAATGATCCATGCTAAGCACAGTCTGAGCGCCACTCTGGTGCAAATGTTTACCCAAGTGCGTTTAGACTGTTTATGTACTGGAGCACTTTTCCAAATTTTGTGAAGAATATTGAAAAATGTGAAAATGCCGCCAAACTAAGCACAGTACAAGTGAAAATGTCGCACAGAATTATTTGCAAATGTGTTTAGACTGTGACTATACGGGAGCGATTTTTCAATTTTGTGTAAATTAGGCAACTTTTTTTTTGAAATTGAATTCGAAATGAAATGACGATTGTTCTGGATATAAATTGATTTATTTATTATTTACATTTGATTTGCTCAGATATGCCAAACAAGATAGCAAAAATAATGAAAGTTACAGTATTTGTAATTATATATTTGAAAACGTTTAAAATTTCTCGAATATTTCATTGCGGTACGGGAAGTTCCAGCAATTTGCCTTAAGGCATAATGCCATACACCACTAGTTTCTATTATTGTTTTTAAATTTCAATTGATTAAATACAACGGCCCGGCTGGTTTTTATCACAAAATTCAGCACTTTTCCAGAATTTTTGGCTAAAACTTTCACGAATATTTTGTACTTACATGCCAATGTAATCTTATCGAATTTCTTAGAGTGGCCATCAAATTTGTAAAATAGGTGCAGCCGATTTTGAGAAAAAAAATCCTACGATTTGGGTGTCCAAACTTGACTTGAAACGAAGGCGAGAAAATATGAAATAAGCAGATCGTATTTTTTAACGAAATCATTAACTTTTCTCTCGTGAAGTAAAGAATCTGCTGTCAAATAAAACATTTAACGATTTTTTTAATCCTAGTTAACTGCGGTATATTTTGTTTTATTATGTCAATCAATTTTATATTTGACAAATGCATTATCTAGTTTGAAATTAAAAATACAGCACAATAATGTTTCCATCAAAGTTCAAGTCGATCACTTACAAAACGTGCTGCCTTGTGGGCGTAAGAAAGAATTTATATTACACTTATGTGAATGAACCAGCTCAGGCAATCGAGGGAAGAAGCCCAAAATGTTGCACAGCCGAGGAGGCTGTCAAGTGCATCAAATCAGAAGATTTAGTGTTTGTCCAAGGAGCAGCCGCAACTCCTAACATGCTGCTGGCTGCAATGACAAAACACGGTAAAGAAAACTGCTTGAAAAACGTAAAAGTTGTCCATATGCATACAGAAGGACCTGCCTTGTATTGCAACAAAGACTGCGAGGGGATATTCAGATGTATATCCTTGTTTATGGCGGCGAATGTTAGGAAAGCAGTTGCAGAAGGCCGCGCGGATTCCTTGCCGATATTTTTGTCCGACATACCAGCGTTGTTTAAGAGAGAGATACTCAAACCAAATGTGTCTTTGATCCATGTATCGCCGCCTGATAATCACGGCTTTTGCAGTTTGGGCACGAGTGTTGATTGCGTAAGGGCAGCCGTGCAGGCTTCCAAGTTTATAATTGCGCAAATTAACGAAAATATGCCGAGGACTTTTGGGGACTCCATAATTCATCAGAGCCACATTGATTGTGCGGTGCCTTGTAACGATCCTTTGCCAGTACACGGCGGCGGTAAGCCCAGCGAAGTGGAGACCAAAATTGGTGAGTTCATCGCCAATAACTTGGTAGACGATGGTTCGACTTTGCAAATGGGCATAGGCAATATACCCGATGCAGTTTTGGCTCGATTGGGGAACCATAAAAATCTGGGGATACACTCAGAAATGTTTGCGGATGGTATAGTAAAGCTAGCCAAGTGCGGTGTGATAACCAACACCAAAAAACCGTTCCACAAAGGGCGTACCGTCGGAAGCTTCCTGGTCGGTACCAAAGACTTATACGACTTTGTGCACAACAATCCATCCGTGGAAATGCTACGAGTCAACTACGTCAATTCCACCAAAGTAATAGCCACCAACCCTAAGATGACAGCCATCAACTCCGCCATCGAAGTCGATCTAACCGGTCAAGTAGTGGCCGATTCGATAGGAACCAGGATGTACTCCGGATTCGGCGGCCAAGTCGATTTCATAAGAGGCGCATCCGAAGGCTTGGATCGCAAAGGCAAGCCTATAATAGCCTTACCTGCAATCACCAAGCGTAAGGAATCCAAAATCGTGCCTTTGATCAAACCTGGTGCCGGAGTGGTGACCACGAGGGGACACGTGGATTACGTGGTGACGGAATTTGGAATTGCGAATTTGTTTGGAAAAACTTTGCTGCAGAGGGCTTTTGCCTTGATTCAGATTGCACACCCGGATCATAGGGAGAAACTGGAGAAGGCTGCATTCGACAGGTTTAAGGCTATGCCCCATAAGTAGAGGGTAATGGAAATAGTGGTAAACGTAAAGATAAATGTTAATTTGACATTTGTGAATGTGACAAGTTTGTGTGTGTTTTTTTTAATAATTTTTGTTTTGTACAATGATAGATAAGTGTACTCGCATAAATGAAGTTAGATTAAAATAAAAGATGACTATTTGTCTAAAATTTCGTAGTAAATGTATAAAGTTATCATTAGAAGTAAATTGAAAGAAACTCTAGTAAAGGGGCGTCCATTAATCACTTGATCGAATTTTTAAGAATTTTTGGACCTCTTTGGTGATACGTGGTAATATTTAAAATTACCCCACCAAACACCGCGAAAAAATAGTAATTTTTTTTATCTCTTTAATTTTTAACTTCCCGTAGGGTAGTTATAGTAATGAGCCGAAAATCGAAAATGAAAATTTTTACATTTCTCTCGACGTTTTGAAGGTTTCTGAACATTTTTAAGGGGCATATCTCAGAAAACCAATGGGTGTGTGTGTATTTTGTGTTTTGTATGTCCGCTATTTTTCATCCACGTTTTCGGGCGCACGGATCAACCGATTTGAATGGTTTAAAAAACATTAGATTCATATTGATAACGAAATGTGCTGATTAGTTTTTGGCAAAGGCGGGTCCAGCCGTTACGGAGATATGGAGCTAAGAGAGCAGAAAATAGAAATCGAGTTTTTGAGAGAACGGAGCATCCGATTTGTTTGATTCAAAAAACTTTCAGTTTGTAATGACGGGGAAAAGTGGTTATTAGTTTTTGGCAAAGGTAGGCCCAGCGGTTTCGGCGATACAGAGCTAAATGTGTAAAAAATGGCAGTTTTTGAGAGAACTAAGCGTCCGATTTAAATGATTCAAAGAACTTTCTGCTTGTTTCAACAAAATAATTGCTTTCGGAAAAAAAATTTTTTTTCTAATTTTTTTTTTCAATAAATATTTTTGTAATTTTGGACTAAAAATTCAAAAAATTTCTCAAGCTAAGCACAGCCTAAGCGTCACTCTGGTGCAAATGTTCACCCATGTTCAATTTTCCAATTTTGTGAAAAATGTGAAAATGCCGCTAAGCTAAGCACAGTATAAGTGAAAATGTCGCACAGAATTATTTGCAAATGCGTTTAGACTGTGACTATACGAGAGCACTTTTTCAATTTTGTGTAAATTTGGCAACTATTTTTTTTTTTAAATTGAATTCGAAATGAAATGACGATTGTTAATGCTCTGGAGATAAATTGATTGATTTATGATTTACATTTGATTTGCACAGATATAACAAACAAGATAGCAAAAATAATGAAAGTTATAGTATTCGTAATAATATATTTGAAAAAGTTTAAAATTTCTCGAATATTTCATTACGGTACGGGAAGTTCCAGCAATTTGCCTTAAGGCACGATGCCACCTACCCCACTAGTTTACATTTGATTTGCTCAGATATAACATAGCAAAGATAGCAAAAATAATGAAAGTGACAGTATTTGTAATAATATATTTGAAAACGTTTAAAATTTCGTTTAAAATTTTATTACGGTACGGGAAATTCCAGCAATTTCCCTTAAGGCACGATGCCATACACCACTAGTTTTAGTTTTATTCTAGTGGTGACACTGCGTTTCAACAAGTGTCATGGCCGACATTAGTGTCATCACAAAATGCGGTTAAAGTTGTTTGGTTTTTTATTCAGTTTTTAGTGTTTATTTCGGAGTGTCATGAGTGTTAAATAGTGGAAAATAATACTATATTATAATAAAATTAGTTTACAATAGAAATAGATCTTTTAAACGTTTTGTGTTAGTTAAAAAGTTGTGAAATGTTGAACATAACCTATATGCAAGTGCCGACTGTGGTTTTGACAGGACAGGATAATGGTTTGCAGAAAAGGTAGGATTTTTTAATTGTATGTTATATTTTACTGTCTAAAGTATTTACATATGTATTTTATTCTTTACAAATGTATATTAAAAAACGTTATATCACAACTAAACTGAAATGATTTGTGTCATGTCAAATATTGTTTTTAATGGCGTAGTCCTTGCGTTGTACTTTACAACGATCACAACATTCATTTTGTTGTTCATTTGCTATAATTGCAAAATTCTATAATTAATTTTTTTAAATGCCATTATATTACAGTTTTCCATATGCAATTTAATTATCATTTTCTTATTAGTTTAAAACTTATCAAAGCTTTCTCTTATCAATTTTGCTCTTATCAAATCTTACTCTAATAAAATCTTACACACCATCAAATAATATTTTTACTCTTATCAAATTTTATTCTATAAGAATTAATTGTAGATCTAGTAAAAGCAGTATTGGGCAATAAAATCCTATATTTGTTAGCAAAAGATCTTAATTTTTGGGATTTTATAACATATTTGTCTTAATCTCGTTTTATTATAAATTATAGTTTTATATGTGCGATTTAATTTTTTTGCATTGCTATAATTAATTCAAATTAGATATGGATTTATATTTATATTATCATTAAGCTTATCCTCACTTTGTGATATTGACAAAATGGTGATATGATGGTGATAATCAAATATTTAGCACAAAGTTTTGTCGTTCTTTCTAATTAAGGTTGAAAGTGAAAATGATTGAATTTTGCATATGAGAAGATTTAATAAAACTTCATAAATTTGTATTGCTTATCAAAATTGTACCTTTGTTTTTGGCTTTTCGTTATTTAACTCTTTCACGAATTTAACATAAAGATTACTTTTTTCTTAAAAAATCCTGAACTCGAGCTCTAACTAGTTGTAAGTGGTATTTTATCTTAAGGAAAGTTGCACGAATTTTCAAATATATGCAAATGATGGACTTATTTATCCAAATAAATTCATTAACTAGTGGTGTATGGCATTGTGCCTTAAGGCAAATTGCTGGAGCTTCCCGTACCGTAATGGAATGTTCGAGGAATATTAAATGTATTCAAATAGATTATTATAAATACTATAACTTAAAATACATGTTTACAGAAAAGTGTATAAACATAACATAATCAATCGAATTTAAAATGAAGGACATTGTCTAATATTTATAAGAATTTTAACTATTCAAATCGGTTGATCCGTGCGCCCGAAAACGTGGACGAAAAATTGTATCCATACATACACACACACATCCATTTTTTCTGAGTTATGCCAAAATGTTCAGAAACCTTCGAAACGTGAAGAAATGTCAAAATTTTCAATTTAGATTTTCGGCCCATTACTATAACTACCTTACGGGAAGTTAATTATAAATTCTATATTTATATAATAGCATTAAAAATATGTATAATATTTAAAAACAATAATGTAATTAAAGTTATATTTCAAATATGTTATTATGTAAACTTCATGTTATTAATATCAACATACATTCATTGACTGCTTGTATTTTTTTTTTCGCTGGCGATATAATCTCATTCTTTGAACAGCTGTAATATCTGTCTTGCCTAAAAAATATTTTTCATTTTAATAACTTCAAAGATTTATAGAAACTACGAATAATATTGAAATAATTTTTAATCAATAAACTTACGTTTAGTACTCGGCACAAATGTTTAATTTGTTTTATAATTTTTAAGGAACAGGGTAAAATATTTTTCTGATTCAAGCATTTTTTTATTAAATCAAGATTTATACAACGATGTAACTTTAAAATGTTTATTTCTTTATTGATATCGATACGCATACTACGACAGATCTTTATTCACACACACGACGTCTAATCACAATCGACCCGTATAGAAATGATATCATCGAGAACGAATAACGAATCATTGGCACTCGACTCTTATCTGCCGTAACGCACTTCCGTTGCATTTATACGGATTTACACCCTAATCGCGCCTAAAGAAGTTTTACTTCAAAAATACGTTTTTGGGTGAACGGTTAATGAAAAAAATACACTTACAATTAGTATTACAATTGAAAGATTTTCTACAAATGAAGACAACATTCTTGCACAGTTACAATTTGATTGAAATATTGCGGGTCAACAAGTATGTTATATATATATATATATATATATATATATATATATATATATATATATATATATATATATATTAGGGTGGTCCTTAATGAGGACATTTTAGAATTTCCTTGCTCCCAGAGGCTCAAATTGTTCCAAATTGATGAAAAACAATTCTCTGAAAGTTTTAGCTCTTAATATTAACGTTTAGATAGAGCGCAATTCAATCAAACTTCGTATGGAAAGAGCATGGAAAAAATTTTGAAAATTAAAAAAAATGTTTTAGGTATAACTTAGCGACAAATAAATAAGTTTTATTCATTCATTTGTTCGCTAAATTACATCTAAAAAACATTTTTAAAATTTTTGAAAAATTTTCCATGCTATTTCCATACAAAACTTCGATTGAATTGCGCTCTATCTAAACGTTAATATTAAGAGCTAAAACTTTGAGCGAATTGTTTTTTATCAATTTGGAACCATTTGAGCCCCTGGGAGCAAGAAAATTCGAAAATGACCATTTTAAGGACCACCCTAATATATATATATATATATATATATATATATATATATATATATATATATATATAGTACTAAATTGAATTGATTAGAACCTCAGGATATCATCTCATCGTTTGTGCGGAAATGACTAGTCTTTTAGTTGAAAAACAACAAACGTGTCTGAATTTAATTCGTAGGTTAGGTAGGGGTGTGTATATTATTTTTATTTTAGTTGTTACTACAAACGGGCGAATATTATGCAGCGTGCAGCTGTGTGTTAAATTGCGGAACAAGTGAGAGGGTAGGTTTCGGGGCCGGGGCCCTTTCGACCCTATGATAAAGCACCGCCGCACCGCCGTGGTCGACCGCCCGGCGGTTCATCAGTTCGTCAGAAAACGGTCACGCTTCATAGGAGTTCAATTTAAAGTTGCACCATTGCACTATTGTCTGGATTTTGATAAACTTATAATGGCTAGGTGTGAATAGGAATAAATTGTCATAGGCAGATATTATGTATTTGTCGGAGTCAAACGTAACTAGTAGT